GCCTTAATCCTGCCTGGAAGTCCCTCTCCTCCGACGGCTGTCTCCCGCCACAGCTCAGCCTCGATGGGGGGCTCACTGGGGGACCGGGACCCCAGGGGGAACATGGGGAGCGGGACCAGCTGGAGCCAAGTCTGAGCCGGGACCGAGCCCTCCCCCCGACCCGGCCTGGCAGGGCACGGGGCCAAGGAGGCGTGGCCGGCCCACCTCTGGCCTCTGCCCCCACCCTGACGGGAGGGTCAAGGGCACAGGGCTCTAGCCAATACCCCCTTCGGAGCCCTCCAGCCAGCCAGGGCTCGGGCACGGACTAGGAAGCGGGGATGTCCCCGCCTGTTTCTTCATCTGTATATTGGGGTGACCACCCTATCCCCCCAAGTACTCAGCTAACTGCTGCTTCTCCAGCACCTGCTGCTCCCTCCATTCCAGTTTTGCCCACAGACTCTCCAGAGGTCAGAGGCCAACTATGGACACAGGCACCGTGCTCTGTGGGCACCCCGGCCAGCCCAGTGCCGGCACTCCCCCCGCCAAGAGCTCGCCATGACGCTGTGGTTTCTGCCTCCCTGGGCTGCCAAGGCCGGCGGCCCCTGAGCCAGGACCCAAGGCCGATGCCTTCCCGTGTCTCCGGACCTCAGGCCAGGGCCAGGCTGGAGAAGGTGCTCGAACGTACTGGTTCGCTGGGTGGATGAATTCGCCGGACAGAGGGGGAACCTGATGGCCACGGAGGATCCGTGCTGCCCAAGGTCACGGAGGGCTGGGCCGGCGGGACTCGTGGCGTCCTGCCTGCGGGTGCGGGGCTCGGCCACAGGTCCCGTCTGCCTCTCCGTGTCTGTCCCTTCTGCTCTGAGTCCTCTTTTGCCAGGGGTGGGGTGGGGGGGAGGCTCTTGAAAGGTGGGGAGCAGGCTTCAGTAGTCTCTGAGACCTCTGGCCAGCAGACGTGGGCCGTGTTTAGAAAGGGCTGACAACTTGTCTAGAGCCACGGTCTTAAGCTGCAGAATGTTCTGGGCCTCAGGAACCCCTCAGGGTGGTGACCAGTGGGAGACCTGACCTCGCCCCCACGCCATTTCTGTGTCACCTCTTGGGGTCCTAAGTCCCAGGAGAAACAGGTCAGAACGGCTGGAATGTGGCCAGAAGTGGGGCTCCTACCCTGAAAAAGACAAGGTCTGCAGCAGCACCCCACTGCCCCAAGCTTAGAGGGCGACCTTGGCCAGACCTGCACCTGGCCTGGGCCTCGGTTGACCCTCCTGTGCTGTGTGTGTGTGTGTGTGTGTGTGTGTGTGCATGCACGTGGGGCGGGGGCGAGGGGGGCGCTGCTGGTCTCGCTGTGTCCTTCCTGTTCGGAAGGGCCCCCGAGACCTTCCCCATCGTTAGGGGAGACCGAGGGGTCCCACAAGAGGTCGTCCGAATCGTGCTCCTAGCAGCCCTGAGGACGAACACGCAGCCCTGTGTGGCATCCTCGCCCCCCTTCCGCCCTCAAGGGGCTCTAGGGAGCCACTGGCTGCCCAGCCTGGTGGGCCCTGGGTCCCTGCTGGGCCACCCACGCGGAAGCCTCACCTCATGCCACAGTGACCTCCAGCTCACCTCTGGGGGTGCCCAGCCCCCTCTGGTCAGCAGGGCTCCCTGGCAGAACAAGCCCAACTGAGACCAGGCCTCTGGCCTCCAGTGTCCCTGCCTGCTCCCCAGGCCCCCTCCCCAGACCCAGTGCCCACTCCCCCTGTCCCTGGCTTCCTGCCACACAGGCTGGAGGGGGCGGGGGGGGGGGGAACAGCTGTGTAAGCGACGGGAGGCTGATGGTGGCTGCCCCTTCCTGCCCCTCCCCCCAGCTGTCCCTCTCTCTCTCATGACAGCTGCCCAATCAAAGGGCTGGGGGCTTAGCCAGCTCCCCCCACACTCAGGGATCAAGTGTCCACCCAGGCTTTGTTCTGGAGCAAGAACAATCCGGGCGAGGGGAGGGCTCCTGGGATGCGGGTGGCCTGGCCCGCCCCTTGGGGGATTCCCTGGGCTCTGCGGGCCAGAGCCCAGCGTCTGGACCATCCAGGGCGTATCGACCCACCTGGGCTGGGTGGGGAGAGCAGGCCAGTCTCCCAGCTGGTCCTCCCCTTCACGCCCCCCAGGACCCTCAGCCCCTCCAGCCGCTAACCTAGCAACCTCCCACACCTACTCCCAAGGCAGCCAGGCTGGCCACACCCAGGGATGCTGGGGGATGCTGGGGACCGGGCGGGGCGGGGGCCAGACACAGGGCCTGGGGGCAGGCCCTGAGGGGTTCTGACTCCCCAGCCTCGGTCTTCTCCTGCTCACAACCCCCCGTTAGCCAGGCCTCTACGAGAACTGCCTCGGCACCCTGGGACCCGGCGTCCGGCCTTCCAGCCGTCCGGCCTCCCGGGAGGCCCACCCACAGCACTGCCGGGGAGAGCCGGCGAGAGGGGTCTGCAGGGGAGCAGCCTGGGGCCCACCGGCGCCAGCCCTGGGCTCCTGACCCCTCAGTGCCGGGCAGGGAGGGGAGCGCTGACAACCTAGCTGGTGCCAGAAATGTAACAGACGCCTCCGAACATCCTCGGGCAACCGCCCCAGCCCCCCACCGCCAAGAGTCTGCACAGCCAAGGGAGGACCAGGCAGACCCAGGCCCAGACTGGGCTCCGGGAGAAAGGGCAGTTTTGGGGTACGGCCCCACCCTCTGGTACCCATCCTCTCACTGTCTCACCCACATTGAGAAAGGTCTCTAGCTTCCATTCCTTAGACTGGGTCCCACTGCTGCTCAACAGCCATCCTTGGCTCCCCAGTGCCCAAGGAATAAAGGGTGATCTCCATAGACAAGCACTCAAGGGCCTTTGCCACCTGGCCCCCGCCAACCACTCGCCTCATCGCCACCCCATCCCCCCACCCCCCACCCCCAGGCTGCAAAGCTCGCCTAGCACCTCCAGGTCCCCCGGCCTCTGCCCAGGCGGATGCCACCTTGAAACACCCATCCTCCCAGCTCTGTCAAAATCCTTCTCAAGTGCCACCTCCCCTGTGAAGCCCTTCCCAACCTTCCAAGTCAGATACAACCACCCAAGACTCTGGGCCCCCCAAAGACATGCCTACAAGTCAAGGGAGCCCCAGATGGGCATTTCCGAGCCTGCCTTTCCGCACCGCAGAGCGCTCCCGGAGGGCAGGGGCCAGAGATGGCGCTCAGGGTCTCAGGGGAGCAGTTGAGGGGGCAGTGAGGAGACCCAGGGTGCAGGGGCCAATTCCTCAGGAACCCCAGCTCCTGTTCTTGCTGCTGCTGGGAGTCCTGGGACTCCCCGGGCATGTCAGTGGGGTGGGGGTTTGCACTGTGCTTTGAGACATCTCGGTGGGCTTCCCCACAAGGAATGGGGGCTCCGCCTGTCACAGCTTGAAGGGCGGCACCAGAGAGGAACCTGAGGCCCAGGCGGGAAAGGGCTTGTTTGTAAGGCTACATGGCAGGCGAATGGCAGAGCTGGGGAGACCCAGGGGACCCCCGTGGAGCTGAGACCTCTTTCCCCAAGAGGTCTGCGCCATCAAGAAGGGGTGATGGAGGCTGGAGCGGGGCAGCGATGGGAGTAGGAAGGGTGGACGGAGCCAGTCTGGGGACACAGGGCGGGGCGAAGCCAGCCTCCCTGTGGCCTGGGCCTGCCAGGGTGTGTGGGCCGCCTGCTCCCAACCCCCCACCCTGAGCACGCAAGAAGAACAATCCCCTTGTGTCTGGGAAGCCTGAGCCTGCATGCTGATGAAGCCGAGGGGGTGGGGGCTGGGAGGGGGCGCCTTGGAGGTTGAGAGGGTGCTAGGGCCCGGAGGGGCTAGGGGGCCTTGAGGTGGAAAACGGGGAGGGTCCCAGGTGCTGGCCCCGGGGCGACAGGAACCACCCCAAGAGACAGTGAGTTGAGGTTTAAGCTTCTGGGGAGTCCGGGGCTTTGAGAAGCGCTTTGTGGGGGGAGGAGGGCCCCTGAGGACACGTGCCCTGCTGGTCCGGCGCGAAGGTGACCACCCTGGGCTGGGTGGGGCCCGGCAGCCCACACTCTGGGAGGAGGGGATGCAACCGGCCCTGGGCGCATCCCTGGAGGACCACTCCCCAGGGTGCTGGGCCGGGTGGGGCGCCGGGTGCCACAGGTCTCAAGATGGCCGGCCTGGGATAGGGGCGTGAGAAGGCAGCACCTCCTCCTCTGACCAGGCAGGCCCCAGGGCCTGGCTGAAGTGAGTGGCCAAAGCCCCCTCCCCCCCAACCCCAGGACTCCAGCTAAGCAGCCAGGTCAGAGCCGAGGGGCTGAAGCGCCGCGGGCACCAGGGCCACTGTGAGCCTCGCACGGCCATCCCCACACAGCCGCGGGAGGCGTGTGCGGGGCCCCAGCAAAGACTGCAGAGAATGGGAAGGGGTGCGGCCTGCGCCAGAACCGCAGGGGACGGCAGATGGGGCCAGCGAGGGAGCAGAGCCACGACCCGGGGCCGGAGACCCGGAGCAGAGTCGGTCCGGAGGACATAAACAGCAGGTGGGATGAGGGCCTCGACTCTGGGGTCTCCGGTGTTGGGGGCTCCTCTGGCAGGCCAGCGCCCCCCACCTGTGCAGGCCTGGGCCCGTGTGGGATACAGACCGTGTTCCTCGCAGTCTCCCAGGCCCCCAGACCCAGGACCCGGGCCTGTGGGCTCAGACACCGACTCCCCGCCCCCGGCCGAACCCCCAAACTTCTCGGCCCGCGGTGCCCCGCCCGGCGCGCGCCCTACCTCGCTGGGGCTGTCCTGCGGCGGCGGTGGCGCGGCGGCTGGGCCGCTCAGTCCCACATTGTCCCCGGGAGAGGCGGCCGCTCACAACTGCGAGTGACATCAGCTGCGAACAATGAGGGGTTTGACAGGCGCGGAGCCCGGCCGGCCCGGAGCCCGGCTCCGCGCCCCCCCCCCCCCCCCACCCCCCAGCCCGCCCGGCCCGGCCCCTCCCCGCCCCCTCCCCGGATCCGATTACAGCGCGGCGGGCCCGCCCCAGTCGCCCCAGTGCCGCAGCCGCCCGCCCCGCCCCGCGCGCGCGGCGGTGCGCCTCGCGCGGCGGCCGCGTCCGAGAGGGCTGGGCGACCCTCCGGCCCCTGGGAGTGGGGGACCACGGCGGGGAGATCGGGCCCGAAGCGCGGTCCTCCGACGCCGCCCGCGCTGCGCCCGCTCCAGAGTCCCTTCTTCCGGCCCGGCCGCTCGCCCGGCGCCTCTGCGGAGCCCCCTGCACCCCCACGCCGGCCTCCTCCCCGCCTCCAGCCCCCGGGCTGTCCGGCTCCTGCTCGGGTCGCTGGGAAGTCGGGCTTCCACCCTCCTCCGGCTCAGGTCCCCCGCTTTCCTGCTCCGCGCCATCTACCCCTGCGCGGGGCTCCGGCCCACCAAGACCTGCACCCCTCGGCCACCCACGGCTTCCGCGAGGCCCGGCCCTCGTCCGCCCAGGACAGGTTTCTGGACCAGCCGGAGGAGGGGCCTGAGAACCGTGTGAGCCCGGCACCCCGCCCAGGGCTCCCTCAAAGCCACCCCCCGAATTCTTTTGGGGGCTAGGGTCGCAAGGGAGGCCGCGCGACTGAGTACGCCGGTGGGGTGTAGGTAAGCGTAGGCGGAGGCTTGGTTATTGGAAGGCCCTCCTTCCCCCACAGCAGCCTCTGCCGCTGCCCCGGCCCCGAGCAAATCTGTCTCCCCCCTCTCCTCTGTAATCCGCTCAGCCGGGTCCCACTGACCTCCCCCTCCCCCCGCAGCCGAGTCTCTTGGCACCTGGGTGTGTGGGGGTGGGGAGGGGAATCCAATCTCCCTTCCCCTCCATCTGGCCTGGTGGACAAAGGGCAGGGGGACCATCTGGTCCCGCCAGGGTGGGGGAGGGGCGGCGGCGGCGGTCCCAGGGGGGAGGGGCAGGGCGGGGCGACGCTCTGGAGACAGCAAAAGCCTGGGGGTCTAATTGCATGACTTTATTTCGCCGACCTCCACTCTCCTCCGCGCCTCCCCCAGCCTCGAAGCAGGAAAGAAGCTCGGCTGTGAAGACCCGGGCCCAATAACGGGGGAGGGGGGAGCACCCAGAATGAGGGGGGAGCAGGGAAAGCTGAGGGTCGAAGGGGCGGCCCTCTCCTTTGGGGGACATTTCTGATCTGGAGTCAGCTGCGACCTGTGGGTGAGTGGAGTTCAGGGCAGGCCTCACCCTAAACCCTGCACAGGACCTCCTGCAAGGACCAGTCCCTGGGGCCCCCACCTTCCCAGACATTGGGGTGCTGCATGGTTGGGAGGGCACGGGTGCCTGTACAAGTGCTTGTGTGGAAGCACACGCATGCACGGGTGTCTGTGCATGCCGTGTGAAGCTGCACCCGAGCCTGCATGTCAGGTGTGTGTAGCTGTGCGGTTGGGTCACGTTTGGGGACATGTGTATGCATGCATGTGGGCATGTATGCATCTGTGGCCTAGAGGCCAGGTAGGGGCTGCGAGTGCTCTGCGGGGCAGCCAAGGAGGAGGTGGGAGGGGTCGACTGGGCAGAGCAGCGGAAGGAGAGAACAGAGCAGGGCAGCCTGTAGGAGAAGCTCATCTAAACAGGTTACCCTCCACCAGGTCCCATCCCTTGATTCCTGAATTTTTTTTCTTGGTTTCACCTCCTCAGTGTGTCACTGCAAGAGAAAGAGGAAAAGACAGACAGGCCCAGAAAGACAAGCATCTAGACAGACAGACACACACACACACACACACACCTGTTAGGTGTGCAGGGAGGGAGGGAGGGAGGGAGAAAGAGAGCCCCAGTGGGGGCGGCAGGGCTGGGCCTCACGCCAGCTCCTGCAGGAAACCCAGCAGCCCTGTGTGCCACTCCTCCGGTTTGTCAAGGTAGCAAGGGTGCCCTGCCCCCTCCATGACCAACACCCGGTGGTTGGGCAGCTGCTTCAGGTGCGCAAAGCTGGTCTGGCCCATGGGGTCCTGGTCTCCGTAGACGATAAGAGCTGAGGTCTGGAGAAGGGAAAGGGAGGTGGGGTCAGTAGGGATCTGCCGCACCAGCTCTGGCCTCTCCATCACTCAGCCTCTCCCTGGGGTCGCCCCAAGTCGGGGGGAGAGGCAAGCTGGCCCGGTGGGGTGGGGGGCCGCTCCCAAGGGACAGAGGTGTAGATCAGTGTCTGCCGGCACACAGGTCAGCACAAGGCTAGGCACAGGAATCTGCCCAGTTAATCGGAAGGGTGGAGGGTGGTGATTGAACTCCTCCCAGAAGCCACCCTGTGGTGACCCCACCCCCCGGATAAGGAAAGGCCCCGAGAGGGAGTCTTCCTCGCTCTCGGCAGGGGCAGGCATCTCAGCCTCCCACACAGGGGTACCTTCACGCTGGCGTAGTCGGCAGTGCTGATTTTCTCCGTGCAGATGGGGGCCACTGGCACGTAGCCCCGGAGCTGGGAACCGGGGGCCGTGAGGAAGGGCAGGGAGTACATGCCACTCAGCGACGGGCTGATTACAACCGGGGAGCCCAGGTCCAAGGCATCTACCACAGCTGCCAGGAAGCTGCTGGGGGCCAGCTCCCCGATAGGGGCAGGGGCTGCTGCTTCCTTGGAGTGCCCCAGACCTTCAGGGATTTAGGTGTGGGAGAGAGGAGACAAGGGCCATGCATGGGAAAAGGAGAGCGAAAGGCTCCCTTCCTCCAGGAAGCCCTCCTAGGTCGTCAGTCTCCCTGTGCCAGGTTCTGCAGCATGCCGTATGCCCGAGCTGACCCCTACAGCAGCCTAGATCTGTTGTATCCCTGCTATGACCGAGCACCTGAAGCATGAGCACTTCCCTGGGGTCTGTGCCCGTCCCCCCCAGCGGTACAGTGTGCTGGGAAGAATCAGGCCCTGAAGTCCAACACAGCTGAGCCCCCAAGTCCCCATTTTCCGTTTGCTATCTGTGTGATCTTGGGAAGGTCCCCTCAGCCCTTTCCGCTGCTCCGTTTCCCCATCTGAGGGAGGGAGAAAAAGAAGTATCTGCCGTTCAAGACTGTTGTGAAAAGCACGTGAACTGCTCAGGGGCACCTGTCCCAGGGATGGCAGTGGGCGTGCCCTAAGAGCAGCGGCTGAGGGGCGGGCTCTGCACACACACCTCCCCTCCGATCAGCCAATCCCGACCTTCCCTGGAAGGTTAGCTCAAGACTGTAGCCTTGAAGCTCAGCCAGTCTGGACCAGTCCCTCGGGACCCTGAGGCCCACACTTGGGCATTGAAACTGTACCAGCCTGGGCCAGAGGGGAGGAGAGGAGAGCAGGTCAGCCAGGGTCCCTGCCACACTTGGCACCAGGGGCTAGGGCCAGCCCGTCCAGGTTATTGTGACTGGCAATCTGGGGCTGCCCCTGCCTCGCCTAACCCAGCTTAGGGCTTTCTTCCCCGGGATCATGGCTAGTGGCTTAGCCACCCACCAGGCCCTGCCCCGCTCCCAAAGCTGCCAGGACATTCAGCCTCACCCTTCAGGGTTTCCAGCAGAACCTATGGTTGTGGCTCTGTCAAAATACGTCACTTCCAACTGGCTGAGCAGCCATTTTTAGGTCAGGTGCTGACCACATCATCCCGGTGGTGACGTCACGAATCTCTAGAGCCAGCCCCCGGCAGGAGTGTGGCCATGTCCCATTACAGATGAGGAGACACAGGCTCAGAGACACTGCCCCGGGCAACGGCTGGAGCAGCCGGGCGGTGTCCAAGCGGCATCCGTGTCCAGGCTAGAGAACCCCGAGGGTCCTTGCAGTGCACACTGTGGCCCAGCCTGGCTAAGTCCTTCTAGGCCCCCAGCCCCGGGCCCCCAAGGAGGTTCCCCACCACCCTTGTCCAAAGGCCTGCCCAGAAAGTACCTGGCAGGTCGATGGCCACAGCCCGGTAGCCAGCCTGGGCCAACGTGAGCAGCGTGCCCAGCTTCTGCCAGGTCTCGGAGGAGAAGCGGATCCCATGCAGCAGCAGCACGGAGAAGCGGGCGGCCTGCCCGCCGCCCGGCCGGGCCTCCCGGAAGAAGAGGCTCTGGCCCTGCACCTGGAAGGTGCCTTCGTGCTGCTCCACGCCTGCCATGCCGCCTCCACCGTGCGGGCGCAGCGCCTGCGGGGCAAGGCCGGGTGGTGAGCCACGGAACGGCTGCCCAGGTGGAGCGGCAAGGTTGCCACGGGGAGGGCGGGCCAGGCCGGGGAGCAGCAACCAGACCACCCAGAGGCTCCCAGAACTCTAGGCACGTGCTTGGGGGCGAGGGACACGAGGGCTCACGTAATGGTGCGGCCTCGGGCCTCAGTTTCCTCACCAGAAATGTGGGACATGAAAGCCTACGTCAAGAATTAACAAGTTTAACAAAAAGGAACTAGCAAGCTAGGGTGCAGCAAGAACTCAATGCAGGAGGCTCCCATTACAACTATTGTTTTCTCATTGGTGTCCTTTAATGCAAATGGGGAGAATACAATAGTTCTTTGCTCCTAGGTGGTTGATGGCATTAAATGAGGCCGCGGGTGTAAAACGCTCCGGGCCGGCCTAGCACTTAGTACCAAGCACGGTAGCTGCTCAAGCAATGTTAAGTAGCTGATTAGTTTGCTCATCAACCCCTTGCTCTTAAAGGCACAGTTAGGGGCCCTAGTTTAGCACCGCAGTCAGGAGGGGGTGGGGGTTGGAGTAAAACACCCGTTTTCTGGAAGCGGAAACCGGAGCGCTCATCGGAGAAAGGCTTTGGAGTTCCCGCCCGCAAGGGACGCGGGGTGCTCAGCGCGCTGACGCCGCGATCAGGGGCGCGGAAACGGGCGCCGCCAGGGCTCGCTCTGTCCCCTCCGAGGACCTCGGTGCTGGCTCGCAGGGCCTGGTAGGGCTCACGCGGAAGGGGTGGGGGCAGACCCGAGGGAGGGGGTCTGGGAGCCGAGTGAGAAGAGAAACTAGGCGTAGGTGGGGGTTCTAACTGGACAGGGGGAGAGGGCCGGGGGCGCAGGGCAGATAGATACCTGGGGAGCTGCGAGGGTTCGCGCAGACTGGAGGCAGGCGAGTCCTGGGAGCAAATGGGGTGCAGGGTGGGGAGACGGGGAGGGGCGGGGGCGGGGAAGTAGGGATAAAGTCAGGCCGTGCTCTGGGGCGACCTCTTTTGGCCACAATTCGCTGCAAAGTCCATCTTTCTTCTCCCAGCGGCCTCAGTTTCCCCAAGCCCGTCAGCCCCACGTGCCCCAAGCACCGGACTGAAAGCTTTCCCAAGACCCTCAGCAACCTGCCCACGTGCACAAGGCGCGGCGTAAGGAGGAGGATTCCTTTGGAGTCACGTCCCTGCCGCGCCCTCCTCTCCTCCTCCCCCATCCGCAGCCTGGACTGCCGAGCCCCGGAGCCGTGCGCCAGGCTTGCCCCTGAGGCCCCACAGGTTTGAGGGCGAGGTTCTGCCAGTACCCAGCCAGGTAGCCTTGATCGTTTTCCCAACGCCTCCGAGCCCCTTGACCTTCCCTGTGGAACGGATGTGAGGTCGCCTACCAAACAGGGTGCCAATAAAGGAGAGCCGTGCAGCTCCTCCTGCACGCTCCGCCCAGACTCCCCATGCCAGGCCGGGCCATCGCGCGGTGCCTGAGCCTGGGGAAGAGCAGACTTGGGCCACACGTCGCCCAACAGGACAGGTGTCATAAGGAGATGCCGAAGGAGCCCAGAGGCCACCCTGGGCCCTGACCGAGTGCGTGTGTGGGTATTTGTCGGGTCAGGGAAGCGCTGGGGCCGAGCTGCACAGCGGTACTGTCTGTATCCGTGCACCACACGGCGAAGTCTCCCTGCCGGACGCAGGCTTGGCGGGTCCTGACGCCCTAAAACAACCCTTATACGTAACCCCACTTTACAGACCGAGGGTGGAGACGCTGTGGTGGGGAGAGCTGGGTGGCTCTCCCCTGGCTGTCAGGCCTAAAACAATTCAAAAAATCCGAACGGGGGCGCGGAGGCCGGGCCTGCGGGCTTTGCGGCGCCGCCTCCAGTTCCCACTCCAACCAGGCTACTAGGCACAAGGCCTGCGACTGCGGACTGCGCAAGCGCGCCGCGGTGGCCGCGCTCTCCGCCGCCTAGTGCCGGCCGGAGCCCGCAGAGAGGCAGCGCCATGGTCGCGGGGCTGTTTGGCTGCTGGTTCCGCGTGGGCGGGGCCCGCCCCGCTGGCCGGGTTATCTCAGTCCGCCCGGTGAGTGTCCCTGGGGAGGAGGCCAGCAGGGTGCCCGGGGACGGGCCATCCTTGCTCCGCCCCTTGCCCCCGCGCCCCGGGCAGAGTCCTGCGGGAGGGGCAGGCGCTGGGGCAGCGAGTGTGCGCGTGCCCGTGTGCTGTGCACGCGCGCATTTGCGTGTGTTCTTGGGGATCTCGGTGTCAGTGTTTTTGTATGCCTGTGTTGGAGGGTGTCGGTCTGTCCGCCCGCTTGTTGTCTGTGTATGTCTACTGTGTATATTTCTGTGTGTATGTGATTTTGAGGGTATGTACTAGCTGCGCGCCTACGTGTGTATTTCTGGGGGTCTATGTGTGTCTGTGTCCGCCTGTGCCTGTGTATTTTTTGTGTGCGTGGGTAGTTTTAGGATTGTTGTGTATGACGGTGTGCTTGAAATCTGAGGGTCTGCACGTGATTTCGAAACCATGTGTGTATGTGTGTCTACCTGCCTTCCCGGTGCCTGGCGGTGTGCATGGTTTTGAGGGCGTGTATTTCTGGGATCGATTTGGCACAGGCCAGCGCCACATAGGATGCTAAGTGCAGGGAATGGCTTGTGCAAAAGAAAAGTGGGTGAGGACAAAACTCGATGTTTGTGTGCATGCGTGTGTCATTGTCGACGCGTGTGAAAGACCTAAGCTGAAACCTCTCCACCCTCAGCCCCAGCCCCAGGACCCAGCTAGACCTGGTTGCCTGCTACTGGCAGGGCAAAGTTGTCTCGTGCTCCGGCCTCCTGGGTTGCCAAGGCAACAGCCGAATCCGCGCCCCTCCCTACCGGGAGAGGCGTCCAAGGGGCCTAGTCCTCACTACCAGGAGGGGCCAGCGCAGAATCCCCCTCTACTGGGAACTTAAGCCAATCGCGGCGGAGGCCTCATTCGAGACCGTTCTGGTCTGAAAGAAGGGAGAAGCACCTTCCTCGGGCTCAGCTCCTGGGTCACCACCTGCCCTGGGAGCCTGGGGTGGGAATTTGGGAAATATCCCAAGAGAGGTGGGTGGGGCTGGAGTCCGGTCCCCAGTTCCTAGCTGGGGCTGATGCCCAGGTGGCACTCAGGAAAGAGGTGTTTACTGAAACCTGGGGACAAGCAGGGGTGCCCCTCCCAGGCCCGAGAAGTGGTGCCAGGCCAGCCCCTGGTCAAGCCCACTGTGCCGGGGAAATCTCAGGCTGGCTGGGAGGGGGTGCAGCGTGGAGCGGCAGCCTCGGGGGTATCCTCCTTGTTTTACCCACCAGTTGAAGACTCGTGGCCAGGGAGTGGCAGAGCAAAGTCTCAAAGCCCTGGCTCATCCCCGTCTGGGTCCTGGCCCTGAGGTCTGCCCCTGGGCTGGCAAGGACCTGGACTGGAGGAGTCCGTGGAGCAGGTCACTTGACGTGAAGCTGGGGGTGGGGGTGGCATTCGTCTCTCCAGGCTTCAGGCTGTCCCTGCCTGCACCCCCACCCGCGTGTCCCCACTTCTCCTCCAGATCCCCCATGTGCCCTCCTCCCACCTCGTATCAGCTGGGCTGGAGCTCCAGCACAAGCTCCCATCAATGGTAAAACACACTCTGACTTTCGCATTATTGTGCGCAGTGTGATAACAAGGACCATTTCCAAACATGCTCTCACCGGGGGGCCTCTCCACACTGAGCCTTCCACCTCTGGCGACCCTCACCACCGCTGTTCCGCCAGCCCGGAAGGTCTGGTTCGTCCATCGCCTCCCAGCCCCGAGCTTTTCTCCTTGGCAAACCCAGTGTGGCCCAGTGGTTAGGAGCCCCGCCCTGGGTTTAAATCCCTGTTCCCCTGCTTGCTAGCACCCTGCACTTTGAACAAGAGGATCCACCTCCCTGCGCCTCAGTCCCCTCGTGTGTAACAGACCTGTAATCATACCTGCTCCCCCGTGTTCCCGTGTGAAGTCATGGGCCCTCGTAGGTGGCAGGCCAAGCACGGGGCCTGGCCATCTGAGGGCTCCGTGAACGGCAGTGGTCTTGGCCAGCACAATGATAGTTGTGGCCACTGGGCATGCTGGGTGCCAGGGGGTGTCTCAGGCGCTCCTCACGCAGTGGGGTGCCCGAACCGCTGCCCTGGCGCGTGGAGTAGTTCGGTGTGAACCCTCAGGCCCTTGCCTGGAGCAGGGCAAAGGGTTCTTTGGCCGAGCTTTCCCTCTGCTGAGGCCTTCTGGGTGGGGTTTGGGGATGGGCCCCCGGGGCCTCATGGAGCCTCCACCTCAGCCTTCTCCCTCTCCTCCCCCCAGACCGTGGTGCAGACCTCCATGAGCCGGCCCCAGACAGCCCTGCTGGGCCTGGGCCTGCTGCTCATGCTGCTGCTCTACGTGGGGCTGCCGGGCCCCCCAGAGCAGACCTCCTGGCTCTGGGGGGACCCCAATGTCACCATCCTGGCTGGTCTCACTCCTGGCAACTCCCCCATCTTTTACCGAGAGGTGCTCCCACTCCACCGGGCACGCAGGTGGGTGCTGACCTCAGGGACCAGTGGAAGGCCCAGGCCCGAGGGAGTGCCTGTGTGGGACCCTGGCTCAACTCGGGGTGCCCGGGCCTGGGAGGGCAGTGGGAGAAGCCTAGAAAGAAAGCAGGCCACTGCCAGATCCGCAGGACCCACCCTGCCCTGTGCGCCCCCAGGGCGGAGGTGGTGCTGCTCCACGGAAAAGCCTTTAACTCCCACACGTGGGAGCAGCTGGGCACGCTGCAGCTGCTGGCGCAGAGGGGCTACCGGGCTGTGGCCCTTGACCTCCCAGGTGAGAGCCCCCGCCCCGGGGTCTGGGGGGGGCAGGGTGCAGCAGGTCCGAGGGAGCAGGGTAGGGCTTAGCGGGGTAGGAAAGCCCCAAGACGTGGCCGGAGGGCATCTGGACCCCAGAGTCTGGACGAGCAGTGGCCGGTCGTGGTACAAGGTGGCTACGCTAAAGGTCTGTGCCTTTATTTTCACCCTGTAAATCTGTGTGGACTGTTGCATGTCGCGGAGCAAAACCTGCCTGGCCTCCCTGGGTTGCATGGGGAGAGCTCACCATCTTTTTTATGACAAACCAGGAGCGTTTGGTTTCTTTAGCTGTCTGATGATTTGTGTTATCGCTCTTATCATTAAAGAAATTGAACAAGAGCGATGCCCTCAGCGACTCGAGCCACAGTCCCCTCCCTCTCTCACCCAGCAGTTCTGGGGAGCCAGAGCCTTAGGGGTACAGAGCAGACGCAGGAGGGTGTGATGGGGGCTGCGAACATGACCGGTGCCCTGCCTGCCCCGAGGGCCGGTCTGCAGCCCGGTCCCCTCCCCTGTACCACGTCCGTGGGTCATGCCAGGCACCGCAGCCCTCCTGCCTGCAGTGCGTGCCCTGGGACAGACGGACGGCTTCTGTCTGGCCATCCCTCTGCTGGCGGATATGCGGGCTGACTGGGGCTCGCGGGGTCAGTTGAAGGGCTTGGGCCCGGAAGCCGGAACATCTCTGGGCGCGCTTCTTGGAGCCTGTGGGCAACCACTTCTGTGCGGCGGCTGCCGAGGACGATTGACGGGTTAAGGGACACTCATCTTTCGCATTCTGACAATTATTATTACCTCACCCTCCAAAACCGCTGTCCGGACTTACCCTCCCATCAGTCATGGGTGGAAGTGCCCTTGTCCCCACATCTCCCCCAACTCTGCATGTTGTCGGTCTTTTTTAGTTTTGCCAATAGGACGAATGAGAGATGTTTTTCTGGCAGGCCTATGACATCACACACACACACACACGCACAAATTCAGGGTAGCGTGTGCCGTGTTCCACCGCTCCCCACCCCTGTCCCCCACCGTGGTGGACGGAAGTCCCGAGTTCCTTCCCAGCCCCCCTCAGCCCGTGCCTCCTGCCGCTCCCAGGTTTTGGGAACTCAGCGCCTTCAAAGGAGGCCAGCACAGAGGCGGGGCGGGCCGAGCTGCTGGGGCGTGCGCTGCGGGACCTGGAGGTGCAGAATGCCGTGCTGGTGAGCCCCTCGCTGAGCGGCCGCTATGCCCTGCCCTTCCTGATGCGAGACCACCGTCAGCTGCACGGATTCGTGCCCATCGCGCCTGCCTCCACACAGAACTACACCCAGGAACAGTTCTGGGCGGTGAAGGTACTGGGAGGAGGGTCTCCAGGGGTGCTGGCTCCCTGTCACACGGGGTAAAGGACTCAGGTCCCACTTGGAGGACACACGGCCCCACCCCTGGTCTGGATGGACAAGATGGGTGTTTGGGGGAAGATTCCCTAAGGGGACGGCTTGAGGGCCGCCCCCCCCCCCGCCCCAGGCTGCAGGCTCACAGCCCCTCACCTTGCCCTGCAGACCCCGACTCTCATCCTCTACGGGGAACTGGACCGTGTCCTGGCTCGGGAGTCACTGCGGCAGCTCCGCCACCTGCCCAACCACTCGGTGGTGAAGCTGCACGACGCAGGCCACGCCTGCTACCTCCACAAGCCGAAAGACTTCCACCTTGTCCTCCTTGCCTTCCTTGACCACCTGCCTTGAGCTCGCCCACTTAGCTTGGAGGATCCGGACCAGTCCCTCAGCAGGGAGGCCCCTGGGACCGGACGGCCGAGGCCAGAGGGCCAGGCCCAGGCAGGACCTCTCATTTCATCTCACAGGTACAATAAATAAAAGCGTGTTTGTCATGCCCAAGGAGTGACGGATCTTGTTTCCTGGTGCTGCTGCGGCGGGGGAGGGCCCGGGGGGTGGGGGCGTGGGAGGCAACTGTGGGACTGCCTCCTGGCTGGGAGCTGGGGGAAGGCTCCAGCAGCCAGGGGAGGCTACAGACACGGGCTACTACTTCCTAGCTGCCCTCCCTACTGTGACTCGGTTTTCTCATCTGTAAAATGGACAGGATAGTGAAACCGGAAAAATCGGCGTTCGTGCTGCCTGTCTATACCAGAACCAATAAGCAGAGACGGGGATCGAATCTTTACAGGTGCTTTATTCAGACGCCGTGACCCGAGAAGACGGCAGGTTATATGCCCTCAAAAACCATCTTAACACTTCATGTCAGGCTGGCCTTTTTATAAGAAGAAAGGGGTTTGGAAAAAAAGGTGAATGGGAGAAAAGTTGCAGTCCCACAGCGATCTTCCTAGGACTTCTTTTTCTGCAGATCAACAATTCCGTCCTGAATTGCTTGAGGTCATCCCAGTTTCTGTAATACAGCTTTCCGCACGCATTAATCACTTAAGCCTATCAACTAGAGCTAAGGCTAAAATCTTTAACTCTGAGTTCCCCCATCAATAGTAACACCTAGCTCAGAAGGCAGCTTTGGGACTGGACAAGTCCAGGTGTGTGGAGCTCTCAGCGCACAGGGCCGGGGGAGGGGTGGTATTCCTCCGCCGCGTGACCGCCGGGATTGGCGGGCCACCCAGGGCCTGGCAGTGAGCTGAGTCCATCAGAAATGCAGGGTCTGTGGCCCAAGGGAGCAGGATGTGCGGAGGTGGGGGTGGAGAGTGTGGCTTAACAATTAACATGGCATTACTGGTGAACCCCCGGGGCCTGCTTGCCCCCGGGGGTATGTGTGGGTCAGCAGCCCACACTTAAACCCCAGGAGGGTTGGGATGGACCCAGAGGTTAAAGTCTTTAATCCTGCCCTTCCCAAGCTGACTCAGCCCCTGGAGCAGGGACAGAACTGGCTGAGAGTACAAAGGGCAGCCGGGCACAGGGTGCATTAGTGAGCAGCTACACCTGCGTGCTGCCCCTGGGTGGCCAGTGAGACACCTGTGTCTTTAGCCTCCCTCTCTGGTGGCTGCGGACGACCCAGGGAGCCTGGCACGGGGCAGTCACGTGTGCCACCTGCTGGGAGAGTTTCTCCGCCTCCGACACTATCATACAGCACACGAGTACATCTTCTCGCCGTGACATCCTTTGTCACACAGCGGCTGTCACACCCCACCACCCTCTCACACGTGTATTGTCAGACACGTGGTCATGCCCACGGATACACACTGTCGGATTGGCCCTCACTGCGGCTGGTTTCCGCGATCACCCCGCGGTCACCGAGCCCCTGTGCACCCCTGTTTCCTTCATTCGTGGCATGTAGTCCGGGGTGTGTTCGTTGCCCCGACCGGGACGTACTCCGGCGGGCAGGCGGGCCAGGCTCCTGGAGCTCGCAGGCTGGGGGAAAAATTAACCAGTCCCCTGTCCTCCCAGGGGGCCGAGCCAGCCAGCAGGGCGCGGCAGAGGGCGGACAGGGCCAGCGCCGGAAGAACCCAGCTGCGGCGTCGGTACGGTCCCTGTCTCTTCTGGTCCAATCCGGAGGCTGCGGAAAAGAACGCCCTCCGGGGACGCGGCCACCCGGAGCTGGGGGCCCGGGGGCGGGGCCACCCGGAGGGGGCGTGTCCTCCAAGGCGGGCGGGGGCCTGTGGAAGCCCGCCGGGAGCTCTTAGGTCGCAGCAGCGGGCCGCCAGCGGCGGAGGCGGTGGCTCCTGGGCGGCGTCCGAGGTCCGAGCCTGGGGTTACTGGGTGGAGGCTGGAACCAAGGGCGGGAGGAGACCCCGGTACTCGCAGTTTTCGGTTCCGCCCCGCGATTCCGGTCCAGCCACGTGCTGGGCTGGGAGCGATCGGAGCCTGCGACCTCGCAGGACCCTGTGTCCGGCTCACGGTTTCGGGTGGGTGCTGAGAGGAGAGCGAGGTGGGCGGGGGGGGGGCCTTGAAGAGGGGTAGGGGGATCTGGGGCTCCCTAGCATGAAATCCGGGCAACCGGGGAGAAATTTTTTGAGGAGGGCGGCGGGATCCAATGTGTGGTTCAGACCTGCCTCTGCTACTCCCTGGCTGTCCCTGCGCCTCTCTGAGCCTCGGCGCTCTCTCTCCTCTGTCCAGCGGGCTTTCAGAGGCACAACCCCATGGGGCTCTTGGGGGGCTAAAATAAGGAAGTGTGTTCAAAGTGACCAGCATAGCGCCTGAAACTACTGGGGCTCCGAAACAGGGTGTCCGCTCCCGGTGGGCGTGCGGGGAACCGCCCTGGGGGCAGGGCGTGCGCAGGTGGCGCGTCCGGCGGCCGGGAGGGGTAGGCAGCCACTCGCTTTGCCCGCAGCTCCCCACGCGCAGCGCCATGGCCAGCGAGGGTCGCGAGGATGAGCACCCATCCGTGACGCTCTTCCGTCGGTACCTGCGCATCCGCACGGTCCATCCCGAGCCCGACTACGGTGAGAACGCGGCGGTTCCGGTGACTGCAGGTGGGGGTGGCAGCAGGAGCGGGGACTGAGCTTTAAACCGGGCTCGGACTCACGTCACCCGGCTCAGCCCCGCTCTGCTGCCCTAAGTGGTGCCTCTGCCCGGCCAGCCCTTCCCCGAGTCCACAGGCTGCTCACAAGCCCATACAGGCTGAGAAGGGCCCTTTCCTGCCAAGGCTGTTCTTCCAAGTTACTGCTGGTAGCTAGTTAAGAAACAACTTTTCCTCCCTCCCCTGGGCTTGAGGATGGGGGAGGGGAGACGGGGAAGAGGACCACTTGGAAGAGGAAGGCTCCAGAAGTCTGCTGGGGCTGGACAAAGGCCGAGGCCCTCTTGGAGTCAAACTCGGTGGCTGGGAATCCCTGTGCGTGGGTCCGAACTCCTGCTGTGGTTTTCCCTCTGGGAGGTGCTGGGTGACTCTCCTGGCTCTGCGCTCGTTTCCCGTGTTTAAGGGCGACAGTAACCCCAGCTTCCAACCCTGGACTGCCCCCCGGCCTTCCACACAGGGCCACTGATTGGCCAAAAATACCTGCTTCCCTGGGAGCAGAGACGCAGGTGTCTCTGAGGGATGTGGGACAGTGTTGAGGCAGCAGCCCACTTGGGGGTCTGCCCCCCTCTCCGGATGTGCCCCCGTGCTCTGCCTGGGCCGGGGGCGTCCTGGGGAGGCAGCAGCAGCCGCCCCAAGACACCCCCTGTCCACAGGGGCTGCCGTGGCCTTCCTTGAGGAGAGAGGCCGCCAGCTGGGCCTGGGCTGCCAGAAAGTGGAGGTGAGCCCCGGGCCCTGTGCGGGGTGGGGCGGCCCCGCACGCCCCGCTGCCCTGCGCTGAGCCTCCCGCCTGCCCCTCCAGGTGGCACCTGGCCTCGTGGTGACCGTGCTGAGCTGGCCCGGCACCGACCCCACGCTCTCCTCCGTCTTGCTCAATTCTCACACGGATGTGGTGCCTGTCTTCAAGGTGCGTGTGCCGGGGGCGGGAAGGGTGGGACGCGGTGCAGGGGACAAGGACGAGCCGGCCCCTGTCCCACCTTGGGGGTCCCCCGAGGTCCTGGCGTTGACCCTCGACCTCACTCGTCGTCACTGCACTGGAGCAGCCATTGCCCGGCAGCCGTCTCCTGCCCAGGGTGGGACACGGCGATGGGGGTGGCCGCCCACCGCCCTCCCCAGCCCTCTCCTGCCCCCTTCACCACCACCTGGCAGCCCTCCGGTGGGCTCCCGGGCGGGGCCGCAGCTGAGCATGGAGGAGCGATGACTGAACTGGGGGCTCGGGCGCTCTTCCCACCCCCGCCCCCAGGAGTGCTGGAGTCATGACCCCTTCGAGGCTTTCAAGGATGCCGAGGGCTACATCTACGCCCGGGGTGCCCAGGACATGAAGTGTGTCAGCATCCAGTGAGTGTCCCCCGTCCCCAGGCCCCCCCAGTGTCCCACGGGCCCATTGGGATGACCCAGCACCAGAGCTGGGATTGGAGGACCTCAAGGCGGGGGAACATCTCGACCCCTGACATTGGGCAGCAGTTGGGAGACAGGGACAGGGCTCCCCCTGAGTCCCCTGCCAGGCTTCGGCAGAGCAGGGCCCAGGGCCCTCGGCGCCGGCCTGCTGGCCCAAGCACCTGGTGGCTCCCTCAGCGCCTGGCCTACACCCTCTTACCGCCCCTCAGGTACCTGGAGGCTGTGAGGAGGCTGAAGGCGGAGGGCCGCCACTTCCCCAGAACCATTCACCTGACCTTTGTGCCCGGTAGGAGGGGCTCGGGGACGGGCACCTCCAGGGAGATGGAGGGTGTGTTGGGGGAATGGCCCCCTCATCGCACGTCCCTGCTGCTTTTACAGATGAGGAGATTGGGGGTCACCAAGGCATGGAGCTGTTCGTACAGCAGCCCGAGTTCAAGGCCCTGAGGGCTGGCTTCGCCCTGGACGAGGGTCAGCGGGGTGGCGGGCCGCCGAGTGGCCAGCGGGGGTGAGGAGGCTGCAAGGGGGCTGAGCCACTCCACCCCCTGAACCCCCTTCCCGCCCCCTCAGGCCTGGCCAACCCCACTGAGGCCTTCACCGTCTTCTACAGTGAGCGGAGCCCCTGGTGTGAGTATGGTTTGGAGGGAGGGGTCACTGTGCAGGCGGGAGCCCAGGCCAGGAGGGAGCCCAGGGCCTCCGCCTCCCAGCCCCTTCCTGCCGGGGCCTCCCGTTCCAGAGCTTCTGGGGGCAGCACCCAGCCCCGCACCCAGAGCTCGCTGTGCGCTCTGCGAGGACAGAACCCAGCCAGAGGAGCCCGGCGTGAGGGGCAGGCCCACCCCGGGGCCGAGTGCCTCCCCGGCGTCTCCCACGCTGAAGTCGCCCCCTCCCCTGACCTGCCCAGGGGTGCGGGTCACGTGCACTGGGAAGCCCGGCCACGGCTCGAGGTTCATTGAGGACACCGCTGCCGAGAAGCTGGTGGGTGGCTCTCGGGGCGGGGGTTCGGGAGTCCTCGGGGCTCTGTCCCGGGGCCTCTGCCACACCCGACCCCTCGCCCTCCCAGCACAAGGTCGTGAGCTCTGTCCTGGCGTTCCGGGAGGAGGAGAGGCGGAGGTGAGGCGGGCCGGGAGGGGCGGGCACCGGGGGTGGGGGGGGTGCTGTGCCGGACTGGAGGGATGTCCCCTCACTGCCCCGTCCCTGTGCCCCCACTCACTGCAGGCTGCAGTCAAACCCCCACCTGAAGCTGGGGGCCGTGACCTCCGTGAACCTGACTAAGCTAGAGGGCGGCGTGGCCTTCAATGTGGTACCGGCCACCATGAGCGTCGGTTTTGACTTCCGATTGGCACCGGATGTGGACATGAAGGTGCCACCGCCACCTGGGTTTGGAGGAGGGAGCCCGGGTCCTCGGTCCTGCCGAGGCTCAGGGGATCCTGAGCGGTCGACTGATCTCCCTCCTCGCAGGCTTTCGAGGAGCAGCTGCGGGGCTGGTGCCAGGCGGCTGGCCAGGGGGTCACCTTCGAGTTCGCTCAGGTTCCGCCCTCTTGTGGGGAGGGTGTCCCTGGAGGGTGTGTGCTGGGTGCACCTGCACGCAGCAGTGTCCGGGCATTGCCGTGGCCCTGGGAGGTGCCTGCTCTTCACCCACGAGCACGGGCTGTGGAGGCCGCTGCCGGCGCTGGGCAACGCCCAGGGAGTCAGAGGACACACTCGGGCCTTCGTCCTCGCAGTGCTGGGTGTGGGGAGGGGGGACACGAGGCAAGTCCCTGTAGAGTGGTGTTTTCATGTAAGCAGAATCACGGCGTCCGGGAGGGGGTGGGGCCTCGTGCTCTGAGGCCTGTGAGTGGAGCACCTGAATGGCCCGAGAGGCCGGGGACAGAGGGTCATCTCGAGGAAGGGCGCTGGGCTGGGTGCGGGCGGGTGGAGAGGGAGGGAGGGACGGAGGGCCTGCCTGTGGCTGGGCTGGCCGGCCAGCCAGCCCTCCAGGTCGGTGAGTGCTGGGGGAGCGGCGGATGCGAGCCCCGTCCTGATCCTGCCGTCCTTCGCCTCCCCCCAGAAGTGGACGGAGCCCCAAGTGACATCCACCGCTGACTCGGACCCCTGGTGGGCAGCCTTCAGCGGGGTCTGCAAGGACATGTGAGCGCACTGGTCCACCCTCCTCTCCCCGTTCCCTCTCTCCCCCAGCTGCCTCCTTCCGCTCTGCTTTCCACCGCCCCTTCGGTCCCGCCTTGCCGTCCCCGGCTCACCAGGCTCTGCCCCTGCAGGAGCCTCACTCTGGAGCCGGAGATCTTCCCCGCCTCCACCGACAGCCGCTACCTCCGCGCGGTGAGCTGCCGGCAGTGGGCTGGGCAGGGGGTGGTCCTGGGCGCTGGCCCTCCCCCTAACGGCTCCTCCTCGCCCCCGCAGGCGGGGGTCCCGGCTCTGGGCTTCTCCCCCATGAACCGCACACCTGTGCTGCTGCACGACCACGACGAGCGGCTGCACGAGGCCGTGTTCCTCCGTGGGGTGGACATATACGCACGGCTGCTGCCCGCCCTGGCCAGCGTGCCCGCCCTGCCAGATGAAGGCTGAGCCCACGCCCCCAGCCTCTGGCCCCAGAGCCTCCCCGCCAGCCCCCGCCAGTGTCCCTGACCAACAATAAAGTCTGTGTGTGGACAGGGGCCGCTGAAATACTCACAGCAGGGACATTCACGGCACGGGGATGCTGCTTCCTCTGGGGACAGGCTGTTACCGTCCCCGTGGCTCCAGGCACCACCGCCCACCCCAGGCTGCTGCGACCTTTAACTCAGCACGCCCATCCTGCCCCACCCAGGCGGGGGTCTGCACCCGGCGACGAGGGCCACCCTGCCTGTTCTGTCTCAGGCACAAGGCGAGGGATCCCATGCCCACTGGGCCTGGGAGTGTTGGGCCTGGATCCGGCGTGGCGGTCCGCAGCAGTCACGTCGTGCAACGGTCTCCACGTTCCAGGCCCCCGCACTGGCTCTTACAGTTTCACGTGTCCCCGCTTTCACAGGTGCCCTCAGTGGTCAGCCAGGGGCCTCAGTGGCAGGGAGGTAGTGCGTGTGGTCACCAGCTGACCACACAGGAGACACAGAGGCCACAGCAACAAGACGGATGTGCCCAAGAAAAAGGACCGATTTTTTTTTTAAGATTTTATTTATTTATTTTTTTTAGGGAGGGAAGGGAGAGGGGGAGAAAGAGAGAGACAGAGAGAGAGAGAGATTGCTGGGGGCCGTGGCCTGCAACCCAGGCATGTGCCCTGACTGGGAATCGAACCTGCGACACTTTGGTTCCCAGCCCGTGCTCAATCCACTGAGCTACGCCAGCCAGGGCTAAAAAGGGCCGATTTTAAAAAGCTGTCCAACGATCAGTCACAGCTTTCTCTACCGCGCTCCCCAGGACCCAGACCGGCGCACTGACACGCCGCCTGGGCTGGGGCTGGGTCACTTGGGGCGTCTGCTTGAGATTTCTCTCGTTAGCAGACTCCTCACCTGGTACCAAACCCCATGTTTGGTTGGGTGGTGGCACAGGGGCCCCCCCCGGAACTGGACACCCGAGTGTGGGGGCCTGAGGTCGGAAAGGCCTATTTGTAGGGCCTGGGAGACACGGCCTGCTCTTTGCTGGCAAAGGAAGCGCAGCCCCGGGGAGCTGGCCGGGCTGTGCGGCACACGCCTGTGAGCAGAGAGGCGATGCTTTCTGTCCTAAGGTGCCTAGGAGGGGGACGCGCCAGACCCGGCCCCGACCTCCTTCCTTTCAATGGTGTGCGTGCCAGTCCTCACAGTGTCCCCACGGGTCGCAGCTGCATTAGGGTGACAGGGCCCCACTCAGCACTGAGCATTATTACCTCCCTGGCCAGAGCCGGGAACTGCCCCAACAGGGAGAATGGCCCGTGGCAGGTTCCAGTAAATGACCCCAGTGCCCAGGGACAAAAGGGCCTGGTGCCCCATGATCATGGCCAAGCCGCCCAGCCAGTCCTTGCAGCACTGCCCAGCTGTCAGTACACGGTCAGGCCCAGGTCTGTGTGACGACCAGCTGGACTGCTCGTAACCCGGCCCACTGGCTGCTGCGACGTGTTCCTGTTCCCACCCACACAGCGTCCATCAGTGGACGGTCGAATGCCAACTGCCACCCAGGTGGGCGGGCTGCCCTGGCCCGAGCCACTGGCGTACCAGCTCCCTTGAGGCCTGCAGGGCCTGAGGCGGGGACGCCAGCTCTGCAAGGCTGTGGCATCCAAAAGGCCTGGTGGCCAGGCGTCTCTGGAGACGGCCCTCCTCTGCCCAGGATGGGCAGGCTGGTCAGTCAGGGTGGGAGTCGGAACCTCCGCAGAGCTGGCCAGGGAGGCGTGGGGTCCCGCCCACCCTGGACTGCAAGCCCTACTCTGGTCCGGGTGTACCTAGTCTCCACCCCCTCCCACAACTGGGACTAAAATCCCAGAGGCAGCTTTCGCTGTTTTTGCTGCATTGCCCCGCTTATGCCTGCTGGGGTCACTGAGACATTGATTCGGGTGGCCCAAGGGCCGGAGACCCCAAGAGCAATGACGTGTTTGGCTGATATCTTTGCTCTCACAGGCAGCCTCGGCTTGGGCTCCTAGGTCCGTGCACCCCTTGGTAACTACGCAATGTGATGAGAGAAAAGTTCACCAATACTTCTGTTTCTCCCCCCCACCCCCATTCCCCTCTGAAAATAAAATTTTTATTTTTAAGAGGGGAAGGGAGAGACAGAGGCAGAGAAACATCGATGTGCAAGAGATACACTGACCGGCTGCCTCATACACATCCCCACTGGGGACCCAGCCCACAGCCCAGGCGTGCGTCCCGACTGGGACTCTAACCGGCGACCTCCAGGTTCACAGGCAGACACTCAATCCACTGAGCCACACCAGCCAGGGCTAAAAATAAAAGTCTTAAAAAAAAAAAAAAGTTTGCCAATACCCCAGATTTCCCACGTGGGGAAGTCTGTAACTCCCGTGTTCAGTGTGGGGCAGGTCCGTGCTCCTCCGACAGCCTTGGGGGGCCACCCGCCTCCCCACCCCCTCACGGCAGCACCGGCCCTGCCCTTCCTGCGGACTCCCGCCGGCCCTCCAGCAGGTGGGCCGGTCAGGCCTGCGGGGTCCTCTGCAGCAGGGCAGCATGTGCGCAGCACGGCGCTGACCACAGCAATGACAGGCTCTGGGGGACCAATCAATGGTGAGCCCCACCAGGGCCCTCTGTAGACCCCCGCCCCCCATGGCCTCACTCACAATCCTGATCTTCGTTCTTTACATGGGAAGGTGGGGAGGCACCCAGTCGGTGCAGGGCCAAACCCCGAAGGCTCCTCCCACCCAGCAGCACCTGCTGGCAGAGCGGAGGGTACAGGACCCTGACCCTGACGCTGGGTCAGGGTGGTCACCCGACCTTTGCTCTGCGGTGCCTGAGGTGGCTTGTGGGTTAGCCCCCCAGGCTCTTTCAAAAAAGATTCTGTTTATTTATAGAGATGGGAAAGGAGAAAGGAAGAGATAGATTGGTTGGTTGCCTCTCACACGCTCCCAGCTGGGGAGGACTGGCCTGCAACCCAGGCATGTGCCCCAACCGAAAATCAAACCCACCACCTCTAGGTTCACGGGCCAATGTCCCACCCACTGAGCTACTACACCAGGCCGGGCCGGGCCTTCTTTCCTGCTCACTCTCCTTCTGATTCCTGAGTTCCAGCCTTTCCTGCGTTCAGAAAGGAGGGTAAATCCCCCCCGCCCCCGGATCTGCAGGTGTCTTGTCCCACCGCAGAGATGAGCGTCCAGTGCTGGTACTGGGGGCGCCATGCAAAACCTCTGCTCTCACCGCTGCTGTGACAGCGGCCTGGTCAGGTCCCTTGCACACGGGCACAGACTGCCCAACAACGTACACCCAGCTCTCCAAAAATCCTCCGTTTTTTAAAACCCTCACCTGAGAACACCCTCGCACTGCTCTTTGAAAGGCAGAGAGAAGCCATCAAGTGGCTGTCTCCCGTACGTGCCTGAACCAGGAGTAAAACCTGCAACCTTCCCGCCATGGGACGGCGCTCCCGCTCGCCACCCCCTGGCCAGGGCGCGTCCGCCGCACTTCCAGACTCCAGGACGGAGCGCGCCCACCTCTGCAGGATCCGGCTGCAGCTGCGCTTCCCCGTCTCTCCTCCACCCCCGGGGACCAGCCCAGGCCGGGACAGCAGGCGCCAGCCAGGCACGCCGAGTGGCCAAGTCGGGACACCCCAGGCCAGCGTGCAGGGTGCTTCAGCAGGACCCCTTCCCCCTCCCGAACCAGGGACAAGGCCCGAGAGGCTGTTTCGGGTGCCCCCCGTTCCCCACCAGCCCACCACCAACCACTCCTCACTAGACGCCCCCCCTTTTATCCCAGGGAACTACTTCCCCTGCCACCAATCTCACACACCCCGCCAGCCAGCCAGAGGACAAACTCTCCCACAGAAAATGGAGGCACTGACCTCACCTGAACCTGAACCTGAGCCCCAGTCCTGGGATCGGGATCACAGACACAGGCTGGCGGACAGACCCTGCCTCAGGTTTATTTGCACAGACACCACAGGAGGACCCCAGCCCGGGGGCGCATCAGTCCTTCTGTCCTCACGCTGGCGGACAGAGGCTACTACGGAGCCTTCACAGGGGCCTGGGCGCTTTTGGGGGCCTGAGCACCTTTGGGGGCCTGGGCACCTTTGGGAGCCTGAGCACCTTTGGGGGCCTGAGCCGGAGCCTGAGCCGCATCTGCAGCCTGGGGCTTGGTTTGGGCCTTGGCCTTCGGCCGGCACAGCCGGAGCCCCTTGGCGATGCGGGCGCGAGCGCGTTTCCCGAGCTTGGGGTGAGCAATGTAGGCAAGGCGGCTGAGCTTGCGGCTGCTGCCCTTTGGGATCGTGGGCTTGGCCTCCTTGGTCTTGACCAGGGCCTTGATAGCCTCAGCACGTGCGCTCATGGCCTTGGCGTTGTTGGCCAGCATCTTCTTCAGGCCCTTCTTGTTGTGCTTCTTGGCAAAGCGCATGTTCCTCAGGAACTTGGGGTCTACCTGGAAGGCAGGAGAGGCGCAGCACCTGTGAGGGCAGCACATGGGCCCCCAAGTTGCCCCTGGTGCCCCCCTCCACAGCGGTACCCAGGAGACAGCGGACTTCGGCAGAGGCCTGTCGGGGGCCCAGAGAGCACTGGACCGACCTTAATGCTGAAATAACCAACCCTGGGGACTCACCTGCAGAGACGCCAGTACCCCCCCCCGCCCCCCCCCCGCCAAGAATGCTGTACACGGACCTCATCTTCAGGGCCGTGCGCCCAGAGCCCAGCAGCACTCAAGTGCCAGCGCAGGAGAAAAGACGACATGAAGGCCACCCCTCCTCGAGCCCCCAGGTGACAGAGCTTCAATTTCCTGCAGCAGGGCCACCACCCCCCACCCCTTCTAGGAAGGCGTGAGCTAAAGACCAAACCTGGCACAACAGATTCACAGCAAATGAGATAGAGCAAGAGACCAAGACGCAGAAATCAGGGCTCAGAGACTTGGTGATCCCCCCGGCAGAACACAGACCAGGGGTAGGGAGAGAGGACTCAGCCCCCAGCCCCCACAGCGCCCCCCTTCTCAGAGCATCCCTCAGAACCCCCTGGCTCAGGGAGGTGGTCAAACTGCCTTTGAGAGGCGGGTCACACCTGACCAGGGGCTACATCCAGGGCTGGGAAAGGCCAGATACAGCTTTCCTGTGGGCCTGGCAGAACGTGAGAAAGGCTCCAGCAGGGCCCTGGCAGGGCAGCTGCGGCCAGACACACACACTTACCCCCTTGAGAGACTCGTATCTTTGCGATCGGGGCTTCTTGATGCCATTTCTGTGCCATTTTCGGGCTGTGGGGCGGGGAGGGATTAGATCAAAATAGGGTTTCCCCCAGCAATGCCACTCAATATCACAGCTGCCGAGCCTGGGACAGCCATTCCTTCCAAAGAGGTTTTCTTGAGATCCCGGAAACCCCGCATCACTGACTGCAAAGCACCGTGGGTGCCCCAGTGGACCCCTGACTTCTAAGTCTACACCCCCAAAGGTACTACCGGTTAAAACCAGAGCCAGCCCAGGGCCGCAGCAGAATCCCGCTCCCTTGCTCCGCCCCGGTCCCCGTGATCCCTGCCAGGGTCTGCGGCTGCCACGGAGCCGGGCCGGAGGGACTTACACTGGTTGTGCGTGGTGTGGTTCTTGGACTTGGCCATCTCTGCACCTGGCGGACGAGAGCGGCGATCAGGGCTGCGGGCTCGGGACGGGGCCTCCCTCCGCCGCCCCGGTCAGGAAGAACTCGAGGCCAGAAGCCGGGAGGCTGCAGCAAGATGCCTGGCATCTGCGCCTCCCACCTGCCCGACCCGCCTCCAGGCCCCGCAAACTCCGGCAATGGTGCCCCCAAACCAACATCCCCCAGCCACAAGGTTGCGCACTCCAGAATTCCGCGTTCTCTCCCTCCCTCCCATCTGCTCGACAGCCGACAATCCCTGACCCCGCCTCGCGGCCTCCGCTCCCCACAGCCCCAGCCGGTCTCCCTGTCCTCCCCGAGGCTGGAGCCCCGCCGCCGCTCGGGAGTCGCAGATGGCTTCGGATACTCCGCGACCAGCACTCACCCAAGCCCACGGCTCTCGAAGCGCCTAAGACCGGAAGAGAAAGAGAGAGGCCGCGGTGCCACACGGGAAACAGGTCGCAGAGGCCGGAAAGTCCTACTGAAAAAGCTTCCCCCAGCGCCAGGGAGAAAGGTTCCTAAGACCGAGAGGGCACTAGTCAGATGGGAAGGCGGTGCTACGAGCCCGGCCCGGCCCCTATGGGTCTTGCCTTTTCCGTCCCCACCCTCACTCCTCCTGGAGCACGCTCTTGGGCCCAAGTCTCACCAAAGGCCTGAAGGAGAAGGGAGTACTAGGGGGATGTGTAGGCAGGACGTAACAGATCCCCGTTTTTGAAAACTACTCCCGGGGAGGAGGCTGACTGGTGCGGCTCAGTGGTTTGAACACCGGCCTGCCAACAGAAAGGTCGCGGATTCGATTCCTGGTCCAGGCTCTAGTCTGGGTTGCGGGCCAGGTCTCCAAGAGGCAACCCATGGATCTCTCTCTCCCTCTCTTTCACCTTCCTTTCCCCTCTCTCTAAAAATAAATAGATAAGCCTTGGCTGGTGTGGGTCAGTGGATTGAGTGCCTGTGAACCAAAGGGTTGAGGGTTCAATTCCCAGTCAGGTCAGATGCAGGCTGGGTCCCCAGTAGGGGGCACTCAAGAGGCAACCACACATTGATGTTTCTCTTCCTCCCTTCCCCTCTCTCTAAAAATAAATAAAATAAAAATGAGTAAAAATTTTTTTTTAAAAAAGTTCCCCTAGCATGGAGAGTGGACTGTGAGGGGTTCCGAAAAGGGAGGGCTGAGAGGAGGGGGGTGCAGACACCATGGGAGAGGGATGGCATGAAAAGGAGAGGACTGAATAAGGGAGGAAAGAGAATAGACTGGATTTGGGGTGAAGCTGAGGGAGGCCAAGGTGATCCCCAAGTTTTCAGCTTGAACATCTGGGTGAATGGCGATGCTGTTTATGGAAATAGGGGAGGTTGGGGAAAAGAGAGGGGTTTTGTTGCTTTGCTTTTGGGGGGGTGGGTCACCAATCCAGACGTTTCTTTTTAGATGCGTTAGGTGTGATACACCCATTGACATCTAGCAGGAGTAAGCGCTGCCTCCTGACACTGTTGCCCTGTCTCCACCTCTTCCAGCTACAGTTCATTCCCCACACAGCAGGGGGCGCCAGAGCGCGCTTTTTGAGACAAATCAGATGTCCTGTGAAGTCTGCATGGACTTCCCCTTGCATTGGATATCCTTTTTTTTTTTTTTAGGTTGGAAGTGCTGAGTTTCTTTCTTTTAAAAAAATATTTTATTTATTTTTAGACAGAGAGGAGAGAGAGAAAGAAACATCAATGTGTGTGGTTGCTTCTCGCACCACCCCCCACCCCAGCAAGGGAGCCTAGCCCGCACCCCAGGTATGTGCCCTGACTGGGGATTGAACCACAACGCTTTGGTCCACAGGTCAGTGCTTAATCCACTGAGCCACACCAGCCGGGCCTGGAGGGAAATTCTTTACCTCTCCTAACCATGGCAACCATTTACTTCTCTCTGCACCCGTGGGCTTCCTCCCTTCCTGCCCAGTTTGCTCCCACTCCGGGGCCTTTGCACCTGCTGCCCCTCCCCCAGCCCGCCTTTTCCCTACTCACTGGGCGCTGTGCTTTCTTGGAGAGGCCTCCCTGGGCCACCCTAGCCAGGAAAGACAGAACCCTCTGCCACATCTCCCCAGAGACTCAGTGTTCTCACAATCTGTTTGCTTCCTCCTCAGAACATTCCCAGACTCTAACTATGTCCTTTGTGTACTTGTGGGTGTGTCCATTGGCGCAGGTGCCACGAGTTCAGGACCGGCTCGGTCACCTTCACTTTCTCATGACCCGGCACAGCACTCGATGTACAACAGGCGCTTAATAAACACCCACAGGATGGGCATGCCTCGGCCGGGCGGGTTCCTAGAGAGACAGAAATGGACGGTGCAGAGTTTGGGAGTGAAGGGGAAGGAAGATATGGAGGAAGGACGTGCAGGTGACCTCACGGGGGCATTCCTGAGCTGGGGGAGGGAAGTCTGGCAGGTGTGAGTTAAGAGGAAAGGGGCAGGCTCAGCTCGGATGCTGATGGAGTGGCCGGGTGCCAAGAAAGAAACAGCTGAGTCCGGCTCTCGGCTGCGCCCAGGTCCACACCACAGAGGGTGGCACGCGGAGACAGACCCCGCGGGGCCTTGAGATGGGGTGAGAGCTGCTCGTTCACAGAGCGTGGGGGAGCCCTCTAGACCGAGGGCTCGTTCTCCTCCACTTTTGCATCAGAGACTCCTCTGCCATCTGCTGGTGTTTACTGACCTCTCTTCTTCTTCAAAAGATTTTATTTATTTTTAGAAGAGAAGGAAAGGGAGGGAGAAAGGGAGGGAGAGAAACACCCATGTGTGGTTGCCTCTCGCATGCGCCCCAACTGGGGACCTGGCCCGAAACCCAGGTGTGTGCTCTGACCCAGAATTGAACCTGTGACCTTTCGGTTTGTGGGATGACGCACAACCCACGGAGCCACACTGGTCAGGGCTATTGATCCCTTTCAGACTAAGGTTTTTAAATGTGTAAAATAAATGGGGATTGCAAAGGATTTTCCTGTACAGGAAAAAGTGTCCACAAATTACGACTGAATGAATAAAATCAGGTTACAGGAGAGCCTCTATAATCAAGTTTCACTTATGAGGAGAGGAAGGGGGAAAGGAAGGAAACAAGGAAGAAAGAGAAAGTCATTCCTACGTGTGACTGGCCCTACCATCTTCCCCACTTTGAAAAGCATGGCAGTACTTCGGGTTCTGGTCCCCTTTGGCCGCTGGGCAAGTCCCCTCAGGTCCTCCCTCCCGTCACTGCTCCCCCTTGCCTGGGACCGCGCTCGCAGCCCGTACCTATCTCTGCAGCATCAATGGAGCCGCACGCCCATCGCCCCGCTCTGAGTCTGCCTTCCCGAGGTTATCAGAGTCAGACTGTTTCATCAGAGACCCCGAGGGCCTGACACAAGGGGTGTGCAAGCTACGGTCGAATCGCTGGAGGTGGAGGTTGCAATACGGGGTGGAGAGTTGGCAAATAAACTCTTAAGTTCACTTCCCCCCAGGAGAGGGATCCGCAGCTCCCGGGTGAGGGAAAGGCGGTGGCAGCCGGGAAGGGGGCGGGCGGTCCAGGCGGAGGCTCGCAGGCGCAGCCAATTGGGGGATGGCTCACAGCTCCGGCTTCTGGTCCTCCCTGGGAGGGCCGCACCACTCCCGGCCCGGGGTGGTGCGGCCTCCGCAGCGGGGAGTGTGAGCCCGCGGCCCACACGGGGGCAGCATTGGACCGAGGATGCAGCGGGAGCGCCCCGCCCGCCGGAAGCCCTCGGTATCTGTCGGGGGATTTCTGTGGGGGTCTCCTCACTCCCCGCTTTGCTCACCCATTCTCCCACGTACCTACCTGAGGCTCCAGCCCCTGCCTTCCCATTCTCAGGAGGTTCTCTCGGGCAGGTTGGGTATCCCCGGGGGGTGGGGTGTCTTCCCCTAGAGAGGGTTCAGGGCCGGGCCGGACAGTGAACGGACAGTGAAGCCTGTGTATGTCCGTTAGGAGTTAAAGGAGCACGCTTTTTGTTTTTTTAAGGAGGAGAGAGAAAGAGAAACATAAGTGTACGGTGGTCTCTCTCACGCCCCCTACTGGGGACCTGGCCCACAACCCAGACACGGGCCCCGACTGGGAATCCAACCAGTGACCTTTGGTTCGCAGGCGGCAGGCAATCCACTGAGCCACACAGCCAGGGCTAAAGGAGCAGGGCTTGCCATCGGAGACTGGGGTGCACATTCTGACACTCACCAGCATAGTGACCTCAGACCCTGCCTTGACACCGGGTGGCCGCTGCTCACTCAAGGCTCACCTGTAGGAGGAAGAGGAGGGCACTACCCACTCGGCAGCTGGCAGTGAGGCTCTGGGACCGTCTGCACCAAACACTCACCTGCGCCGGGCCCACGGTTTCCGTGGGCACCTGGCAGTGCCCCCGGAGGAGACTCGAACCAGCCAGAAGGCCAGGCAGGCAATATGGGGTCCTTCTCCACCCCCCAAATCTCCCCGAGGCCGCCTACCCCGGAGGAGCCCTGCCCAGAGAGGGATGGGAGAGTGGGGTGTCCAGAGGATGCTCTGCTCTCCGTGGGCAGGGACGGTGGGGGATGGGGCCGGGGGGGGGGCGGAGGAGCAGCTGCTGAGTACGCAGTGCGGGGCATGCGGGGACGTCCCCCCCAGCAACGGGGCCCCAGCTCGGGAAGCCAGCCGGTGAGAGGCCCCGGTGTCGGCTCGGCCGTCTCAGCGCCGGCTGCCCGCCTGGCACCGGGCCCTGGCAGCGCTGGTTTTAATCGATCCTTTTCCGCAAGCAGCTCCCGAGGATGCGGGGGTGGCTTCCCCTTGACTTGAGCTCCTGGAGGATGCAGCTCGGCTAAAAATAACTGGAATTGCCGCGCTCCCGCCCTGGCGTGGGGGCGGGGCCGGGGGGCTGTGGGGGCGGAGAGGGGGAACTTTGCAGCAGCCGGAAAGGGATTCCCTGGGAGGAGACGGAAAAGGAGTCTTGGAGGGGGGAAGGGTGCAGGGCAGGGGAGGGCAGGTGGCCCTCTCTCATTCGCCTCTCTATCCAGGTCTTCCCCCTGAGGACAGAGTTTCCGAGCAGAGCTGGGGTCAAGGCCAGCCTGGACCCTGGACTCGCAGCGTGGAGGGGGACCAGCCTGGCTGGGGCGGTGGCAGTGGGCTCGGTCCAGCACGACGCCTGTTGGGAGGAGGACACCCCCACATACACTCAGGGCGGGCACACTTGCCCCGCACTGTTGAACGCAAGCGGTGGGTCAGGCAGGGGCTCAGATCGGGGTCCCTGTCTCCGTGTTTCTCTCCCCCACCACACGGCACCGAGTCCTGCCTCCCCCTCTGAAAACTGCGTGAGTGCAAACTTAAGCACGACTTCTGGGCGTGCTGACGCCCTCCCCCGGCCCCACCCCCTCCATCTGCCTGGAGACGCAGCGTCAGCTCCCTGTCACCCCCAGCTCCCTGTCACCCCCGTTGTGCAGGGCTCTGAGGGCCCTTCCTGCGACCTCCTGTCGGAGCAGAGTAGGGGCTGGGGCTGGCCCAGGAGG